TCGTAGTTTAGTTTTGTTCGTCGTCGCTACTACAGTACTTCTTACTACTAACGAACGTACGGTTACGGTAGTACGACACATGCTCACTATACTCTCTCTCTCTCTCTCTCTCTCTCTCTCTCTCTCTTGTGTGTATGGTTTTTTTGTGCATATATGTCTTTGCATATTGGTCGTTCTGGAGAAAATTGAGTGATATATTTTGGATGCTACTTATAAATACCACTGATTTATAAAAGATTGCTCTAATGCTGCTGCTGTTAAAAAAATTCAGAAGACAAGGCTATGAAAATGGCACAGAAGCCGAAGTTGTTAAGGGAGTTGCCTGATCCATTCCATTTCTTTCTGAAAAGTATTCACCATATTTCTGGGAGTCCTAATTTTTCTATAAGTGTTTTTATTTTATTTTATTTTAGTTTTTAGAAATTTTGGTGATTCAATAAGTAGTAGTTATTTAATCCTGGTAAGTTTCCATGGCTTCTTATAAGTTCAACAAACTCTGATATCTCTCCCAACGAATATCCGATTGATTTGATCAACTGTCTGTCTCGTGGTTAGCCCCATTCATGGGCTCTTCAGCTCAAGCATTATGTTCCAATCAACATAAACAGATACAATAATATATGACACAATAATAAAAATAAGTCTTGACATTTTGGTGGTATATCATTGTTATGCAATGTTTGTCTTTTGATATATCTTGATATACATTCTTACGTGTTAAGAAACGGCTGAGAGTTTTGCACTTACATATGAAAAATTGCAGGCCCTTGGTCGAGAGTGGAAAGAACCCTCAAAAGTATATTAGATATACTCCTGAGGATCTCGATCGGATGCTTGGTGAGTTCTTCGAGGGCAAGACATGGAATGAACCTCGGCGATAGGTGGTGGTGGAGAATAAAAACCTGTATGTATAGACATTTTTTATATCTAATACTACTACTCATCTTTTTTTCTTCTCTCTTGAGTTTTGCTGAAGTTTGTGATTCATTTTTCATTGGAAATAAAATGTGGGACTCCAAGCCCATTTACCCCATATCGTCTAATGGTATTCATTGGATTCTCTCTTTTTTAGCTTGCCTTTAGCTGTTCCACTGTGGCTTAACATTTACATTAATATAACTTTTTCTTATAATATCTGCTGGTTTTCTTTCCTTCCATTGGGTCAAAATATAGTTGAATCGGCCTGCTATTGTTTCCAATGGCTTTGTTTATTCTCTTTTCCTCTTGAATGACTGGTCGATTGTCTTTTGTTGGAAATTTGAAATTACAGTGGGCCAACTGAATTTGACCGATACTCGCATTGGAATTGGTCATTGGCCCTTTTGATTTGGCATTTAGAGCAAAATCGGCACTACAGTTAATGCCAACTTCATGAGCCAAATCCAACGTTTTGGCCTGTCCATATGGCCGAATGATGGGCCAATTTAAGTCTTTGAAATGCTCCGTGTGAGTGTCTGAGAGCGAGTAAAAAATGTTAATTCGATTGAGATATTGAGCTAGAATAAAGTCCTTGTTTTCTAGGGGAGAGGGAGTAAAAAAATGTCTTTTGTTTTGAGTTATTGAGCTAGAAAGGGTCCTTATTTTCTCCAATTGAGGTGAGGCAAATGCTGATCTCTTCAAGAAGAATAAAATTGCAATTAGCATGTACGAGGGGACATGGTTAACTATTTGGAACTAAAATACCTAGGAAAGATAACCTTTTAAAAAAAATAAAGGAAATTTTTTATGAGAATCGTATATTATGCAGAAAATTTTAGAAGAATCAATTATCTCATGAAAGTATGGAAAACATTTATATAAGGTTGCAACCTTGAAGTGTAGAATTAAAGTTTCACCTCAAAAATCCATCATAAAAGGGTGTTTGGATATTGGAAAACCCTCTAATTATTCATCTAGATATCGAGCTATATTAATATTAAAAGAAAAAAAGATTTTAAATCCGTAAAATAGTGTATTTTGTAACACATTATATGAACCATCCATTTTCAAGGTTTTAATGTGTTTATAGATCTATTTGATTTGAACCATTTTTAAAGGTTAAGATTTTATAATTACGGATGAAAATAGATTCTCAAGCCATCTTAAGAAATTTTTATATCAAAATTACATTTATGATACAATTTGGAGGTGGGCTTTAAGGAGCCGATTGATTATTTGGAAATATATTGTTTGTGAAATATATTATGGGTGTAATACATTGCCTACAAATGGATTGTCACTGTTTGGGTAGTATTTAGATACAACTTGGGAAATACATGGTTAATGTTTGGCTATGTTTAGAAGAAATATGAGAATTGCATTACCAACCAAATATAAAAAATATGATTGTTTGGTTAATATGATTAGACTTTGGTTTCAACATGATAAAGTCATTGAAATAATATGATTGGAATAATATAATTTTATTATGATAAGCCTTATTTTTATTTATTTATTATAGAAGTCTTTCAAATGTCTCTCTATATATAATTTCAAATAAGCAATAAATTTATGTACCAAAATCAAAATCTGTATGGTATAAGTTAAAAAATGAGAAAAAGTTTGACTAGTAAACTAGGAGGTTTGGTAATTGTAGTAGAAAATTTTGAAGCATTGGAGGAAACTAAAGAGGTATTTTATTTCAACTGAGTTTTTACTAATATCTTATGAGTTTAGTTTTTACTAATAATATCTTATGAGGATTATGTTGTGTAAAACTTTTTATTATGATTGTGCTGTGTACTTTTTTTTATTGATTATTATTTTTTTTATTTTTGTTTTTATGCTAGAGCTAACGGCGGGCTAAATCCAAATTAGGGATAGAAGGATGTAGAAATTTTTTTATTATGATTGCAATAGAAAATTGTTCGTATATAGATTTCCATTTATTTTCACTTACCAATTATTAAAAAAAATTTTGGGATTCAAGTCAATTTAGATTCCCCTTTTTTCTATCCCCTATTTTTAGATTACCCTTTTCCTATCCTCTTAATAATTATATATTACATGCTTAAAAAAATTTAATTTGTTTTTATAGGAGTGACAACCCAAACTGGATATAGAGGGATTCAAATCAATTTAGATTCTCATTTTCTTATCCCTTATTTTTAGATTACCCTTTTCCTATCCCCTACATTTATTTTCTACTTACCTTAGGGGAATGTTTTTTTAAGCGGGGATAAGGCAGACAGACAGACGAACGTGAAAGATTTTCAAAACAAGATTACTCGTAATAGATTTTTCACCCTCGTAATAGATTTTTGACCCTCATTGGCAGTAATGGATTTCATGATTTTTGGTGAAATCTGAATTTCATGATTTTTAGTGAAATCTGAGGTAAGGTCGTTCCATTTCTTTACCAAACAGTGTAAATGCCATATTTATTTGTAATCTATTCTCATGTAATAGATTTTTACGTACCCAAACGGTACTTAATTGGATTGTTTGAGGTTGCAACTTAACGCAAACCACACCCCCAATTGAATTGTTTGAGGTTGAAACTTAACGCAAACCACACCCCCAAGTACCACCACACCCCCAAGTATCACAATTGTGTAGTCTGTAATTATTATGTGGATTGTTTGAGGTTGCAACTTACGCAAACCACACCCCCAAGTATCACAATTATTGGGGGTGGCAATTGGGTGAGGCCAATCTGGCATGGGTTTTGGTCTGGATTCAAACATTTCACCTTGTGGATCGGTCTAGGTCTAAACGACTTGGATCCGACTCAGGTCGGATTTGGGTCTAGGTTCCCATCCTGGACCTTATCTTGATCGGGTTCGGATCAAGGTTGACTCGATCTAGCTCGACAATTAGGGGATAGAAAAGGGTAATCTAAAAATAGGGGATATAACAAGGGTAATCTAAAAATAGGGGATAGAAAAAATAGGGGAAACAATTAGGGGATATCGGGGATACAATTAGGGGATATATTATAAAATATTTAAATATATAATGTATTGTTATTTATATATTATAAAATATTTATAATAAATGTTATTTTGTTTAGATTAGGACTCAACCCGAAATGGTGATTTGGGTTTGGTTCCAATGACGGAGACCCAACAAGGGTCCTGATAGAATCGAACTGGTTCTACGATTCGAACAATCCTTGTCTTTTGCCAAAGATGTGATTGGGCATCCAGGGATTCAATGAACTGTTGGCACAAGTTGCTTCACACCGAAGGTGTAATCCCTTCCATTATTCTCGCACAAACAGTTGCTTCCTCATTGAAGCCACTCATTCTCTTTCATGTCATCACCTTTCTTTTTCTACAATAAAAAATGCTTGCTTTTTGATATATAAGATTACACAGCCTTAGTTGGCCCATACACTAGGTTGGTCAAGATGGCAAGATAACATGATCCTTAAGGGTTTTATTTTATTTTATTATTATTATTATTTTGGTGGTTCAGTGATAGGAGTTGATTTTGAAATGTAGCATGGTTGACTTTAAGTGCTAATCACTCAAGCTTAAGTTCAATTCAACGTTTTTTTTTTTTTGGGTAGATCACTAGGAAGGGGTTTCTCACCCATGATAAAAGTGAAACTCAAGATGTTTTTCTGTAGCACTCCAGCACCCTGATCAACTTTGCCTTAAATCTATTCGTGAAGAATTTCATTCTTATTAAGGTCTCAAATCAGCATTAGAAGAAAAACATAAACAAAATTGGCCCAAGCTAGATTTGAAATCTGTCAAAAGTTTTGAAAGGAGCTTTTTTAAACTTTGAAGTTGGTAAACATCAAGCTATCTGATTCATAGTTAACAGCTAAAGGTACTTGTGACTTTTTAACAAATTCACAGCCTTGTATACTTTCTGAAGTCTTATTCTATGGTTTTTCATGTTTCTCTCATAGTTCTTGCTAATTTACATTGTATTATTCGTTGTCTTGTTCTTATATTGCATTTTTTTTTTTTTTGGATAAGTCAAAAGGGAAAAAGGCCACCTACCCGTTTTTATCAATAAGTATTAAAGGAGAAGACAATTCATTACTTTACAACCTACAATATGGTAGTTACGCCAAATCACGAAATAAAAACATGGAAATGAGGTATGTCGGTTGAGAGCACCAAGTAGTAGCTCCAGAACTAAAAGACGTTTTTTTGGCATGAGCATCAACTATCATGTTAACCTCACGAAAAATGTGTGAAATTGATTATGTACAGGTAGAAAGCCTACTCCGGCCGTTAGTTGCCACCGTAGGTTACCTCCATAGGGTACGACAACGATCATGAATAACATTCACACGTAAGGATGAATCGCTTTCAACTTGAAGAAAAAAGCATTCTTTCAGGATAGCTGGCTGACTACCTTTTTCAAGGACAAGAAATTCTGCATAATTGTTAGAGGCGATACTAATAAGCTTAGCAAAGGCAGCGACAAAAACACCGTTACTAATTCTGATCACACCACCAAGTTTGCGATTCTTAAGAGTTCGAACATTATGAAGAGAGAGAGGGTTTGCGAGTTCAGTGTAAATAATATCGACCAATAGGAGAAAAATTAACTATCTAATTCCGACATTGAAATGGAACCCAACAGTAAGGAAGACTTCAGTACAACGACCATTGTTTCCCTTAGCATGGAAGCAAATTTTCTACATCAGAATGGAAATTTATGCAAGTGGGGGACACTGATATATTCCTATGAATTTACTAGGAACGTGAGGAATCAAACCAACGCTACAACACAACCCAACACTAGAAAATATTAAATAGACCATCCATTTTCTTTTTTTCTTCCTAAATAAGAGAGAAAATTGTCTACATTCAAAATAATAGATTATGCAAATTGGGAAGAATAATGCCTTCGTTTGAATTTAACAGGAGCATGAAAGATGCGCACTCAAGAAATTTGACAAATGAAGGGGGTGAACAAAATAGTGATTATTTATAGTTGGGTCCCTTCCTTTTCCAATGAAAATGTTATAAAAATGTCCACATCTAAGAACTTCAAGTCTATACAGCTCAAAAGTGAGTCAAAACTTTGTTCGTCTTTGCCTTACTTGGAATATATCTATTTCTTTAAGGTTTATTGTCTTTCTTAGGTAATTAATTATGCCTAATTTCATTCAACTTGTTAGGTGGTATGTGTGAAAATATTTTTTTGAAAGCATCTTAATAGGAAAGAACCAGTTTTATTACACCAATTGGCTGCCAATTAGTGTAAAAATTGTGCTAGGACCGGTTAATGTGAAAAACTCCTTCACCCAATTACATGGGGACTTCGTTCATGTGAAAATACTTTCACAAAAATATTTTTAAATGTGTCAAACATACTCGAGAAAAATTTCACTACTCTATATAAATTGTGTTTTGGGTGAATTCTTTTTGTTTCTTTCCTGAGGCATATTGCGCACTTTGTCATTTTAACTTATGAACCTACCTTCTTTTTTTTATTTCATTTTATTTATTTATTTATTTATTTTACCAAAACATGAGTTGCATGGTCGCGACTGGCTTCTTTTCTTGCCACCCAAAACATGGGGGCCTCCCTAGGTGCTCAACATGGGTGAATTTCAAAAAATTATGAATGGTTGGATTTGTCCCTCTTTAATGATATGAGCAAAGTTTCACTTATTTTTAAATTCCATAACGGGCAATTTTTGCAATTTTTGTTTTTTTGACAAGGTTATATAAGAATGGAACTTGAAACATATTGCTATAAAAACTCAGCTACTACCGCATTGACCCAAGCCCGTGTGGCACCAAGCTTAAGCTGAACCTAGAGAAAAAAGCTTTTTACAAACATATACACAAGGAATATAGCAAGCGAACTTGTGCGGCAAATACATATGCAAGGCTGCACTTCTTGTTATGTGCAATTAGTTATATACAATCATAAGTGATAGCCTGCTTTTATTGTTCTATACACTTTGGTAAGATGCAACCATTTGTATTAAAAAATAAAAGTTGGCTAGGGCTCTCATTTATAATTTCTACATGCCTTGCATAACTTATTATATATTCTTTCTTTTATCGTAAGGGTGTTTGTGAAAAGCTCATGCATATGCTTTTGTTGTAGACTGATTTTGTATTAGTCGGAGGTATATAAAGTGTCAAGTTTATACTATTAAATTAAGGCACATCTTAAAATCCATCAGAAAAAACCATTTTTATGATGAAAAACTCTCAAATTGATTATCTCAATCTCGAGATAAATTGATTTGAAAATTAAAGATTTCAAGTTATAAAAAAACTGTATCTTGTAATGCATTATCTGGACCGTTATTTTCAAAATATTTATTTATTTATATATTTGCTCTATCTACATTATTTTTTGAGTTTAAAATCTTATAATTAGGGAAGACAATATAACAATATATTTTTATGCCATTATAAGGCTTTCCAATATCGAAACTGCATCTTTTAGCATAGTTTTGAGATGTGTCTTACTTTAATAATAAAAGGTGATCAATAATATAGTTTGTTTTGTATAAACGATAAAGACTCGAGAGGCTTAAAAGCATGCATAATATGCATCACTCGCATAAGAAGCCTTTGCTTCGGGATAAGCATATTTTTTAATTTTGCTCCTTCGGGAGTAAGGAATATTTTCAGTACAAATGTTAGAAACCCAATTCATTGAATCCCCCGACCAACCCCCCGCAAAAATCCAATCGGAACCTTAAAATATTGAATAAAGATTACTCAGGTTAGATTTAAGTGTTTAAAAATTCAAAATAAAACATTTTAAAATAATTATCTAGTATGATTATTGATGATAGTCAAACAAATTTAAATTTTTTAAATTATAAAAAAAAGATAATCCACAATTGACAACTCTTCAAATTACAAAGATTAATGTTAAAATGAGTTATGAAAGTTGGATTTATTAGCTATGAAGTTTATATTTTAAAAACACAGAAGGTAAAATTAAAATTTTTATGATAAATATCCTTTCAAATTTTTAACTTTATGCTTTGTAAAGATATTTAGGGCAATTAATTTTAAAGAAAAATTACATAAAACCATTAAAAATGGATTTTTTAATCAATTTACCCTCAACCTAACTTTTTCTAGCAACTTCCCCAAAAACCATGTTTCTTAAAAAATATCCAAAATAATTTTGTTTATTTTTTTTATGAAAATACCTCTCCCGTATATAACAAATCATTTTCGGATTCCAATAAAAAGAAACGCCGAACACTTGTACAATGCGGTACTGCTCACATGCCGGACCGCGACTTTAAAACGTTCCACCTCAAAATACGTACGGCCACTTGAAAATGCCAGACTGCCACTTCAAAATATCGTACCGCAACTCCAAAACACCAATTTGCCCCTACAAAATGCCGAACTGCCCTTTCAAAATGCAGGACTGCTATTTCACAACACCAGACTGCCCATTTCTCCAATGGCATAATCGACAGCCACAATGAAACACCGTACTATTTCTCCAATGGCATAATCAACCTCCACAATGAAACGTAGTACCGCCCATCCCTGCTATTAAACATCGAAGTGCCCATTTCTAAAATAGCATAATCTCGAGACCTCCACAATGAAACGCCCTACTGCCCATTCCGACAAAATAATTGTTGGTAATTGCCGGATCGGTTTTTCCAAATACTAGACCGCCCTCTCCACTGAAAATGATCCTTATGTAAAGGAAGGGTATTTTTTTTTTTTTAAAAAAAAAAAATGAACTTTTTGTATTTGGGGTATTTGTTAGAAAACATGGTGTGATTTTATTTTTTTTTGGGAAAGTTGATAGAAAAAGTTAGGTTGGGTAAATTGTTTGGAAAGTATATTTTTGGTTTTTTTTTTTTTTTTTTTTTTTTTTTTTTGCAATTTTTCCTAATTTTAACAAAGGGATAAAGTTAAAATATTTTTCCATTGTAATTTTTTAAAATGTTGAATTTACTCTTTAATGATAAAATTATATATTAAAATAAATTTTAAATAAAAAGTAATGAGTTCAATGGAAGAACAAATGTACAGTATATTCCTCCATGTTATTATTAGATTAAAACGCGCATAGATTGACATCCGCGACAAAGATTCGAAGCCGTCCATTATCTCTCACGCTCTCTCTCTCTCTTTCCTCGCTGTTTCCGCGTTAAACGGACCGGTCTATATATATTACCACGACTCTCTCTCTGAACTGTTCCTTCATCCCGGAAGCCCAGTAAAAAACTGGAGAGAGAAACTTTAGGTTTTTCCCATCCCAGATTGATCTTCACAAACCCTACGCCTTCTCAGATCTCAAAAGCCACCATTGATGGCGGATCAAAGCAAGCCGGTCACTGGTTACCCAGCGGCTCAACCCTATTATGGAGCTACGCCATCGGGAAACCCATCCTCTGCAAATTCTTACCCTGCTCCTCCCCCTTACTATGCAAACCCTTATTACCAACCTCCTCCTCCTCCTCCTCCTCAACCCTACTATAACTCCGCGACATATGGTTCGAGCTTGATACGCAGGGCATTTGCCATAGCCATAGCCGTGATCATAATCTTTGGTCTCGTAAGCCTAATTTTCTGGCTGGTTCTGCGGCCTAAAGTTCCTGAGTACACGGTCCAATCTGCTTCGATCTCTCAATTCAACCTCTCTGATAGCAAATTGACTGCAAATTGGAATGTTACTCTCAATTCCTTTAATGGAAACAAGAAGATGGGGATTTACTACGATGAAATTAGGGTTTCCTTGTACTATGGCTCTGAATTACTTTCTCAAACCGGGCTTCCTCCTTTCTATCAGGAAACGAAGAACTCAACTGTTTTGATCGCAAGATTTGCATCCGATGGGGACTTTGTTGGTGATGAAGTTGGGAAGAAAATGAGTGCTCAGAAAGGGAATGGAAATGTGGAGTTCAATGTAAGGTTGGCTGCTTGGGTTAGGTTTAACACAGGGGGTTGGAGAACCAGGCGCCATGTTCTTATTGTTCTATGTGATCATGTGAATATTGGGTTCAATTCTTCGAGTTCGGTGGTTGGAAACCTGACGAGGGATTTTGTGCCTTGCAGGGTTGATGTGTGAGTCTTGTCTCTCTTTCCCCTTTTGACTGACCGGTTTTAGAGTAGGCTTTTTTGGTTGGGGTGGTTATCTTAAGCGGTTGTTTGGGACCCTGGATCTTGTCAATATTAATCAGGGAAACTGGAATATACTTTCTTTTACTTTCTCTCTATTTATTTATTTATCCTTTTGTTGATGGTGCCTCATTGATAATCTGAACAGTTCGATGTACTTTCTTTTTATTGAGTTTATGTAATAATCTGCAATAGTTTTTCCCTTGCACCTTTGATGTTCTTTTGTTGATGGTTTACTTAAATGCTTGTTTGGATGTTCTTGGTTTCCTTCAATTCTTTATCTTTATGTTGGTTTTTGGTTTTTCCTTTGAATATGATTGTTTCCCTTTTTTCTATATTTCCTTTTCCAATGTTATTGGGTTTGCTTTGGTGAGTAAGCTCAGATTCATTCCAAAGTGATTAATGAAAACACGAGCTCCATATAACCAATCTAATCCTTTGATCGCTATAATGCATTTAGAATAATGCTGAGAACTGAGTTTCCATATTTTTAATGTTTGTAGGGAAAAAGGTTTCTGACTAAATGGTTAGTGTTGAGGTCGTGTTTAAATTTTAGTTGTTTTTTAATGCAGAAGACTGGAAGTTTAATTGTGTTGTGAACAATCTTGTATTTGTGTTTTATGTTCGAGTAGCTGAGGCTTCTTTAGATTAGTCGCAAGTAACATATCTGTTAGGTCTTTCCAGTCGTTCTCAAATCTTAATGCATCTGCTTTCTGTAAATTAGGATTGACCGTTGGTTAGGTTGTTATGGGCATTCTTGAGGTTTCTCTGAACAAGAGGAAATCATAGAACTATGCTTATAACATTTTGATGTAATTGATAGAAAATAAGATGAAGCTAATACTTTTTGGCTTCCTAGAGTAGGAATTAAATTACAGAGTTGTTATATAAGTGACAGGAAAAATATAAATTGGGTAATATAGTCATATTTATGGGTTTTTTTTATTGTGGATCAAAGTTCTTTCAAGGATTTAGGAGCCTTGAATAATCTTCTTTTGGAGAACATTAAGTTTGGTGCAAAAAAAAAATGACAGCCTCATTCAGGCTGGTGTCTTTGAATATGCATGTTTTTTCCTTATCATGCCATTTTAGTGTCATTGGATGTAATTTTCCTATTACGATCTTAGCTCTACTCCTGCAATTACTGTAACCAAGTTCAAAAATTAGTTCCATACAGCCGGGCGGCTCCTAAGCGGGCGCTCAGAATTTAGGTAGCCCCGTAGAAAGAACCCCTGACATCTTATGAAAATAACATGGAAATCACAAAAAATGGAAATTACAAAAATCAGAAAATCAGTTTCCCCTCCTATTTTTCTAAAGGGTGCGGTTTGTATAGAGCCTAGGCTCTAAACAATCAAATTAGAGCCTACCTTTAAATAGTGTCGAGAAATGTGGTTTCAATATTGGAAATATTTATGATAGCCTGAAAATATATTTTCATCTTTATTTATGGTTTCAAGTATTTGTGGTTTAAAGCTTAAAAAATAGTGTAGATTGACATATCTATGAAAACTTGAAAATCTTGAAAATTGATGGTCCAAAAATGTGTTACAAAATACACTATTCCCCGAGATGATCAATTTGAAGATATTTGGGCATCAAAACAACCTGTTCTAGTAAAATTTTTGAGGTAGACGCTTCTTTGATTGTTTAGAGCCTCATCTCTATATAAACTTTTTCCTTTTCTAAAATAACTCAAGAATATCTCTTACTTTCTAAAATAACCTAAAAATACCAAGTGGCATTTCCTGGAGCCCAAGGGCAGACCAAATGTACCTCTTATTTTTCTAAATAACCCAAAAATTTTGAGTGGCATTTCCCAGAGCCAAGGGCAGTCCGCCTTTTGGAACAATGGTTCCATATAATTATAAAATTTATTTTCTTAAATTTAGATCAATAGTGGCTAGTAGAAATAATATTAGGTTTCAGAAGGACAAACATTCTGTAAAACAGATATAGTACTCATGTTTATAGAGATGATTAAAGTGTTTACTTGGGAGTGGAGAGAAAAAGGTTTCACCACCATTTGCTTCTGAGCCCAATCTTATGTGAGTGGGCACTTTGTGGCACATTGTAAAGTCACATGTAATTGGCGCATAAAGGTATTTATTTTGTGGCACATATTTGTGTCATTGGATGTAATTTTCCTATTGGAGCTTAGTTTTACACCTGCCATTAACCAATTTCAAGACTTAATTTCATGTATAATTATAGGAAAAAGTTTTAAATTAGATCGCAACCTTAAAATGTAGAATTACGAATGCACCTCAAACATCCATCATAAAAGCTTGTTTGGATGTTGGAAAACCCTCTAATTGATCATTTGGATGCTTACTTTTACACCTGCCATTCACCAATTTCAAGACTTGGTTTCATGTATAATTATAAGAAAAAGTTTAAATAAGGTCACAACCTTAAAATGTAGAATTAACAATGCACCTCAAACATCCATCATAAAAGGTTGTTTGGATGTTGGAAAACCCTCTAATTGATCATTTCGACATCGAGATGTATGAATATGAAAAGAAAAAAGATTTCGAGTCCGCGAAATAGTGTCTCTTGCAATACATTATCTGGACCGTCCATTTTCAAGATTTTCATGTGTTTATAGATCTACTTGATTTGAACCATTTTTAGAGTTTAAAACTCTATAATTAGAGATGAAAGTAGATTATCAAGCCATTCTAAGAAATTTTGATTTCAAAATTACATTTATGATAAAATTTAGAGGTGCGCCTTAATTATATTGTTTAAGGTTGCAACCTTATGCAAATTACACCCATAATTATAACATTTATTCTTTAAATGTAGATCCTTGTGGCTAGTGAAAATGCTATAAGGTTTGAGAAGTAGAAAGATTAAGCAAAAACAGAGAATGGTACTCATGGGGATGTAGATCCTAGTGGCTAGTGAAAATGCTATAAGGTTTTAGAAGTAGAAAGATTCAGCGACAACAGAGAATGGTACTCATGGGGACGGTGCAAGGTGTTTACTTTGTACTGTAAAGAAAAGGTTTGTTGTTGCTTCTGTACCCGATCCATTCAAGATGGTGCCCTAAGTACTTTCACTTCTATGTATAAAGGAATACACTGGACATCAGAAAATTGGTTTTATGGATTTTCTTTTTATTATTCCTTGGTTTGTGAGTTTAAACTTGAATGGACATGCTCTTGCTTGGAGCATTGAGAGTAATAGTTTGGATCTATCGTAGATTCGGATGAACGCAGTTTTGATCCTCGTTCATTCGCATGGGCATGATTCAATAAGGATATATAGCTATACTTACACACTAATATGGTGTTTGTGGGAGAGAGATGGAGATATAGTGTGAGAGAGGTGCCATATAGCACAAAATCAATGGTGGGTAGTGCATGATGGGTAGGTTATTGGATCTTTCTTTAAAGTGAATTACTTTTAATTGTTATTGCAGGACAGTCAATTTGCAAAATGCAAGGAATCCGTCCTTCTTATCATTGTGGGATGACATGGAATTGAAGGTGGTTATTGGATTTGTATCAAGGTTCATAAGACAACCTAAGACTGATTGAAAGGTTTCTCAGATGTTTTACAAACTGCTCACCATTTACTTCTGAAAGACACTCAAGCATGAGATTCACTGGGTACAAATTGCTTTGTTGTGTGATATAGTGTTGCAAATACAGTAGGTTCTTGAATACTTTCCAGAGAAAATAAAAGTTGATATTGAAACGTGTTACTTAGCAGCCCAAGATCTCTACCTATTGGTTCTTGCATCATATGATACCTATGCGGGATCGAAATGGTGGTTTTGGATTGATTCTAGAGTTCTCAACTTAATTTGGTTTCAATAAGATGGTGTTCTCTTCATTGAATTTTGAGCTGCAGATACACATGGTAGAAATATAATCGAAGAATGCGAGTTTCCCAAGTTTCTCTGGTTTATTTGGACTGTATAATTGGTTGAGATGTCTCCTGAAGATTAAGCTAAATCCTGGACAGACCGAGCTGTGGGTTTCATATGGTCAATTTAAAAGTAAGGAAAATTATAAGATTGATCTTATTCTATGGTACCATTGTTGGGAGCGTTGCCATGGGTATAGTGCTCTTGTGTGAAGTGCAACAGGAAAAGATCTATAAAATTAAAGATAAAATAACACAATTTTTTGTTACTTGTTATGTCACTTGAATAGGAAACCACTGTATCAGGCATGCTTTAGGAGCAATATTTCTACAAGGAGTTCAATATTGTTCTCACTAGTTGCTTTTAAGGGCTGGTAATAGATTTTGGATGTATGATGAGGAGTTGTACGCCTTAGTTCAAGTTGTAAGCAAATATTCCTTGTTAGGTAGGCTAAGACTGCTGCACAATTTCATTATCACCTGTCTGTTTAGTTTTTGCAGACTTTAAGCCATTGCAGTGACCAGGGAACTTTAAATAGGTGACTATCTGCGACCTTTCATAAATTTATGAAGTATGATGGTAAAGAAGTTTGTTGATGCACAATCTTCTTTTCAGAATTCTAACCAATATTGATACTGATGGAACTATAATCCTGGGTTTAGATCATCCCATTCATAGGATGGGATTCGTTTCAAAGACGACAATTTGTACACTAGAGGATAGCAGATTGCAGGTATTCAATTTCTAGGCTATTGGAGAACAATCTTGTAGTGAATCTAGCAACCATGTAGAAGATAGTGCTTTTAAGTTCATTTTGTGAATATAGCTTTTCCATCAAAGTTTTGGGGCTTAGGCAGTATAACTATTCCATTAAAGGTTTGAAGATTAGGGGGACACCTCATCATTTGCAATGACCATCAACAGATGATCGGTTTCAAGGTAGAGATATTTTGAGAGTATCCTTTTATACGTGTGGTCAAAGGTTGATGGCCCAAAGTCTGTTCAGGAAAAAAGAAGGAAAACGAAAAAGGGGGAGGGAGTGTTTAATGGGCCAAGCACGAATTTAGGCCCAAACTTTCTGATGATTTTAGATTGTTAACAGGCAAATCGTGTTGTAGGTTGATCTAAGTTTATACAGGTGTGTTGGGCTATGAAATTTCGAAGTCACAGATTCTTAGAACTTCCATTTATTGGGATCACCCATCATTCGATGAATCCTAAATCTATGAACTTCGCTTTCCAGGGAAGATTCACCCATCTTTCCATTAAATCTCTACTGAACTTAATCTGTCAAAATACCTGTATCTCTGTCCTTTTCCCGATATTTT